AGCTAAATAAGAGAAATGAGAGAATATTAAGGGAAACTGGTTGTGTGACTAAGGGATTTGATTTGGCTGGGTTGCCAAGTATGAATACAGGATTCCGTGTGGTACAGGGTCCGGCAACCAACGGTTTCCATGACCACCCAGCCAGGTTTGGGCCAATGGCATCACTACTTTCAACCTCTATGGTCCTAGTGTCGATTGCTGTTGTTCCCACTGCTCTCCTGTATTGCAGCGTGATTACACACAGATCCACAAAGCAAGGTACTCATTTGGTAGTGAAGGCAGCGGGAGAGATCAGTTTGACAGCCCTTGGGGACTAGCAACCAACAAAGCTGGTGACCTGATCATCTGTGACAGCTGCAACCACAGAATAAAGGTATTTGGCGGAGTATAATGTGCATCTCATTTTTTTAGAAATGTTTTGGCAATTTAAGATTCATCCAGAGTGTAATGCTCAGCCTATATTTGAGATCGTTATCGATCACAAAGACAGTACTAGAGTGCCACCATTGTTAGAATTTCCTATAAAGATATGGTTAAGGCATACATTTGTGTAATGTACCGATGCGGGTCTCGCACCCATCATGCATAACAGTGCAGCTGGCAGTTGACACCGGCAATGCACACATATGGCTTGCACCAGGTCAGAGGTGGCAAACTTCACAACGGTTTGATACATCGCACTACCTTTCCAAGTACATGTATATGCACGTCTGCACGCTGGCTTCACTCTTCCATCAACAAGGCTACATTGCTTCTACACCAACTCTAAATTTATCTCTCTCTCTCTGTCTCTCTCTCTCTCTCTCTCTCTCTTTTTCTCTCTCTCTCTCTCTCTCTCTCTCTCTCTCTCTCTCTCTCTCCTTCTCTCTCTCTCTCTTTCTTTCTCTCTCTCTCTCTCTCTCTCTCTCTCTCTCTCTCTCTCTCTCTCTCTCTCTCTCTCGCTAAAATCTTTTTGCTCATGCATGCGATCACAGTTTCCGAGTGCTCGATGGGCGCCGCTTTTTTCGTGGGCATGAAGTTGGTGAAGCTTGTACTTTGTACACAATGCTGTAAAAAGTGGGTTTTTTGAACTTTACTTCCTGTTTTGCCTTTCTTGGACCCATAAATGGAAGAGTGCGTATTCATTTCTCAGCTTGGGTTCATATCTGAAAATGTTACATGGCTATGCTTCACTGAAAAAAGAGCACATTTTGCCTGTTTTCACTGAAAAAAGAGCACTTTTTCAGCATATTTTGAGGGACGCAAAAAGCACTAAGTGCGAATTAAAAGAGCACCTTTGGGAAAGGGCTACATGCAGTGGTAGAATTGGTGCAAGAAATCAATCACCAGACAGTTAGAGGTTCTGCTGGTAGCCAATAGCTACTCATGTACATGTATACGCATGCTGGACATGACATCATGTACATGTATACGCATGCTGGACATGACATCATGCACCTGTATACTCATGCTGGACATGACATCATGCACATGTATACTCATGCTGGACATGACATCATGTACATGTATACACATGCTGGACATGACATCATGTACATGTATACGCATGCTGGACATGACATCATGCACATGTATACTCATGCTGGACATGACATCATGTACATGTATACGCATGCTGGACATGACATCATGTACATGTATACTCATGCTGGACATGACATCATGTATATGTATACACATGCTGGACATGACATCATGTACATGTATACTCATGCTGGACATGACATCATGCACATGTATACGTATGCTGGACATGACATCATGTACATGTATACGCATGCTGGACATGACATCATGCAGGTCCAAGCAATGCACACGTGCATGGCCTCTGTTAAAACTATCTGTTATCACCTTGCACATTTGTTCTGCTAGGGCATGCCACACTAGAGAGAAAGTGTGAAATTCCGAGTGATAGTTTTTTTTCCCTATACAACATCACTCATGTTCCTGAATCAGCCATTATCTACACACTCCACTTGATGAGCTCTGTTGCTGTGTTGGAACGAACCGCTGTCTGCTGGGTCTGAATATCAACATCTCAATGGGATTGTCTTCGCTATGGTTAAAACTTAAAAATAATGAATCGTCCTCGCTATGGTTGTGATGTGAATGGGTCGGCCATCAGCGAATCGGGGAGTGGATGTTTGCCTGATATTTACTGGGCGAGTTTGTGGCTAGATTCTCACCATAGAATTACATTCTAATGTATATGTTTAGATCTGCGCTATGTCTGTGTGCATGTGTGTGCTTGAATTTGTTATTGTATTCCTTTTTGTTAATGCACTTAGATACATGGGGTTGATGGCCAGTGCAAGCAGACGGTTGGCGTCGAGGGAAGAAACTGTGGAGAGTTCTATGCCCCAGACGCTGTGCATGTAACAGATGATGACCGAGTGATCATTGCTGATACTGGTAACCACCGACTACAGGTATGGTGTTGGTGTTTCGCTACTGTTGTACTTGAACACTCCACATCCTACAACCTGCACAGAGGCAAAAACATCTAGGTTCTGTCTACCCCTGCTCTGTCTACCCTGCCCATTCCACCCCTGCTCGATCCACCCCTGCTCACACATACATGTACATGGCGAAGTCTCACGCGCACTTACACACACACACATGCACACACACACACACATCAACACACACACATGAACACACACACACACACATCCTGGTCCTGGTCCTGGTATACACTGCCATGTAGGTCACGTGTTTCTCGTTGAGCGAGACGGAGACGAGAGGACACATGAGCGTTGGTGACGGGATAAGTCGTTTCGCCTCTTGAAACGCCTCTTGCAATTCTGACATTGCAATTGGAACTTGTCCCTTTCATCAGCAGTTGGACGCCTGGTGGATCGGTTGCAGTTGTGGATAGCAAAGCCCTGGATCGACTTACAGCAACGTTCACAAATGGGACAGTGAGCGGGACAGCACGGTTTCCGAATACATAGGCGTACAGGTGAAGAGCTTGTGGCATTGGCAACATTCGGGGCAGAACAGGACTGGGTACAGCGATGTTCTGCAATGCCACCCGCACTCCGAAACTATCGGTGACACTGGGAGCACTGGCGGCTGTTGGCTTGCTGCTGGACTGGTTTATGCCGTTCCATGATGCACTTGTGGCGGGCAATATCTTACTGCCGAGCAAAGCTTGCTTGCTGTCACTCAGATCGTTCCTGCGCTGTGTCAAACCATGACTTGTCGGCGATGTTTATTCGTCGCAGGTCGACCCTAATTGCGTCTCGCCATCGTTTCCGCGGGCCACACGCTGGGCATGGCGGCAGCAATGTGCCAAACAACATCCGCGGAACACACACACACACACACACACACACACACACACACTATCATGTATTGTAGTTATACTGTTTATGTTGGTAATCCCAATTCAAGTCTTGCTTCGCACACCCACTTCTAGCCACCGTGATCGTGAAATGAGGATACTGGTCATAAGCATTTGACCAAGTTATTGTCTATTTCTAAATCATCTTTTATCTCTGCTGTCTGCCTCCATGCCCTCCTGTGCAGATCACTGACCAAAATTTCTCAGAGTTCATCACTATAGGAATACGTGGAATAGAAATTGGCGAGTTCCATGAGCCAATTGGTGTTGTCCTAGTCAACCACAGTGTACTGGGCCCGTGCTTTGCTGTGGCAGATAACTACAATCATCGGATTCAGGTCAGAAACGTAACCGGACAGTACACACTGTACATGTACAGTTGTATTGTGTAAAATCCCTCTCCTACCCACTAACAGTGTACTGTGATATACATAAAGATAGAACTAGCCTATATCACTGTTCAGCATCAAGTTGTGGGACTGTTTTCAATCATGTAACAGAAGATGAAGCATATGGTGATCTCATTAGGCACAGATACATAGCTGAGCGAGGGAAACTAATCTCACACCAAAGGGGTGACTGCAAGCATAGGGCTTCTTCAAGGACGGACCAACGGTCACTTTTCGGGATCATGTGCGAGAAATTTTTTGAATCGCTGGTGAACAGGCGAAGCCCAGGTCACATTCAGTTTGTACGAGAATGGACGCGTGGAGGTGAAAGAAGCAATAGGATGGCGCTCAACTTCATGTCCAACACTCGTGTTGACTCAGAGCAGCTTCCGGGAAGCCCTTTCATGGCTTGGGCGAAAATGAACAAGCTTCAAAATCAATCCAAGCTCTGGTTGAGACAACCCTGTCACATTTCGTATACTTTTCAATGCGCGACCTGTTCACCACAATCTCGGGGTGAGTGCCACTTACGGGCACGGCGTGGTGTCCTTGAAAAAGCACTATACTCCTTTTGACCGGTGGTTCAAGAGTTGCGGAGATTCGCCCTCAATTTATCTTTCCTGCCTCTGGATCCAGATCATTATGCATTGCCTGACCTACCTGACCCTTCTGTTTGTGAGTCAATGCAATAGGAGCGCTTTATGTGTGTGTGTGTGTGTGTGTGTGTGTATGTGGTGTGTGTATGTATGTGTGAGTGGTGTGTGTGTGTATGTGTGTGTGTGTGCGTGCGTGCGAGCACACGTGTGTGTGCGTAAATATATATGTAGGACTCAGTATAGAGTCCATGCACTATATGATGTCCAGCACCCTATATAGAGTCCATTGGTCCAAAATCCACTATACAGAGTCCAGGAGTCCACTCAGTTTTGATCAGCTTCATCCTGCCGCGCAATCCCCTATAAGGAGTACACTTTTTCTACAAGTCCCCTATTCACAGTCCAGGAGTCCAGTTTATCCAGTCACGCCGTCCTGTGTGTTGTGCCCGAAAAAGAACAAACACATTTTCAGTTCTGCTTGCCTCGTGGCAGCGCATTCCTTTCTTCACTTCAGCCATGGCTGCCAGTTCTGCTGTGCAGTTGCTGACAGTAATCTGTCTCGAGGTAACCAAGGAGGATAAGGAGACGTTCAAAATCAACAATGATCTGGAAAGCGTCTTGTGGTTCTCTGAAGACGTTTCATCAGTGCGCGGGATGAAAGCAGAAATTGCAGAACGAGAAAAAGTTCAGCACAGTTCAAATCTGACGAGTCAGGTACACTGACACTCTCTTTCGTTCGACGCCACAAGGATCCCCTGTTTGGCTGGCCATTGCTGCCAGTAAGACGTTTGAACGGTTTCATCAGAGCGAGGGATGAAAGCAGAAAGCGGAGAAAGAGAAAGGTTCAGCACAGTTCCAATCTGCCGAGTCAGATACACTGACACTCTCTTTCGTTCGACGCCACAAGGATACCCTGTTTGACTGGACAAGAGCTGCCTGTACCACCGTGTCAAAAGGCTGTCCAACTACATGGCAGGACGATGACTGAGGTAAGGAAGCTTTTACTCGTTTCGATTGGTCTGCTATTCTGTCGTTATGCTTGAATTTGTTTCCATTTTCAAGGAGCGTATCGTGTTTGTTTGATGTTGCTTGAATGAATGCCCTAAAAGTAATCAACCACTTCGTAATAGTCCTCAAGGACTGCAAGGACTTTGCATCAATCGTATACGATCGTCTAGCTATCATCAATTATTATAATTATTTCATGAGAAATGTATTTTTATCCCTGTGAAAATTATGTGAAACTCCACGACACTCTTCCTCTACAAATTATAGTATGATGTCAAATACAATGGGATCCACAAACGCAGTGCCAGTGTACTAGTAGTAGTAGGAGGATTGCTGGTATGCCAATGACAAGAAAAAGCTTCTCAAGCTAATACTCGTATTCCCTGAAGTAACCGTTTTGATGTCACGAACATGACATTGTGTCAGTGAAACTGCCTCGTGACAACAAATCATTGCATTTCCATCTTGGGGAAGACTAACTGACGGCAACGCTGTACAGATTGTTCAAATCATCTCATTTCAATTTACTTCGAAGTAGTTGCAGTGAAACACTGTGTACACTACTTGTATGGTGGTGTGTCTGTGCGTCTTGAGTGTGCACAAACGATCTTATTCCTCGTATTACTAATAGATTATTGTCCCCACCGTCACCTGTTCACAGGTCTTTGAGTGGATTGATTTTCATTGAGCATCACATTCGTTGAGAACTTGGTAGTTGTGTGCTCCCATGCATCATTACGTTAATAAGCGTATCCTTGTGCTGTCTATTTGTTGCAGGTGTGCTGATCTTCAGAAGCTTGCGGAACTGAGTGCTGCTGAACATTTGCATGGCCATGAGCAATGGTGAAGCTTGCTATTGCACTCTCAGCATGTGCTAGTATTATGCTGACCACTGCACTATGTTACTCTCTTACACTACTACGTGTATGTAAACGTGCGTGTACCCGTCCCCGTATGCATTCGTTTCGTATAATTATTTGTTATTCCTCTTGACTTTACGTGTAAATGGGTGGACGTTTGCATGGCTGTTGGAGTTGCGTGTGTATTGTGTCTCTACTCTTTTCTTGGTGTTTTCTTGGCGTTGCATAAGTTTGTGTGTGTGTGTGTGTGTGTGTGTGTGTGTGTGTGTGTGTGTGTGTGTGTGTGCGCGCGCGCGCGCGCGCGCGCGCGTGCAATAGTTTGAAAACAAATAATTAATCCTGGGCTCTCCATTATTCTCTTTCGATTCTTGTTTTTTTTCTAGGTATTTTCTTGGCGTTGTGTGGGTGTGTGCATGTGTGTGTGTGTGTGTGCACAATAATTTGGCAACACTGCATGATTGAGATATTGTAATTTGCAGCGTCTGCGAAGAGACCACTTGATTTGAGGATGGTGTTTGTAGGGTTTTTCATGTAGTGAAGTGGCTGCAGTGGCGCCTCAATACATATTTTTTTATCTTGAGAAGTGAATGATGTGAAGGATTAAAGGGAGAGGCCGTTTTCTGGTTAATATTCACTGCTTACAGCAGATCCTATGTCTAATTTCGAACTCGATAGGGGGTGCCTAATTGGCTGGACTTTATACAGGGAGTGTTGTCCACATAAAGACTCTTTAATCTTTATAGGTGATTTCAAAATGTGGACTCCGTACAGTTGATTTTGGACCAATGGACTCTACATAGGGGTGAAGCCAATTGGCTGGACTCTATACAGGGAGTGATGTCCATCTAAACTGAGCTCACAGTTGATTCCAATTTTGGACTCTGTACAGTGGATTTTGGACCAATGGCTTCTATATAGGGGTTGGACATCATATAGGGGCTGGACGCTCTACTGAGTCCAACATATACATGCTCGCACGCATTTACAACTCACTGCATCCGTTCTAGAACTACGATAGATCGACACTTGAACAGAGTGCACATATCCGCATGCGTCATAGCGCCTGTACAACCATAGATCGACACATTAATGTACTTAACCGTACACTCCTTGAAATGAATATTCCAAAGGGGAACACATTCCTTCTATCGTGTTTTCAAACGAATATCAGTCGAATACTCGAATAATCCTTGCAACCCTAATTACGAATCTCACAGATAATTATCTTCTATGTACACTGGTACTGTACAGGTTGTGCCATGCAGTGGTGAGACAGGATATGCATTTGGAACAGAAGGTAGTGGTCAAGGCCAATTTCAATACCCAAGCGGCATCACAGTGTACCACAACAGGTTGTTAATTGCTGACGAGAACAACCATTGTATACAGGTATGTTAGCATGTTCAGCTGGCACCCACATCAACAACGATACCAAAGACGACGACAACCGCAACGACGACGACGACAACAACAACAACAACGACGACAACAACAACAACAACAACAACAACAACAACCAAAACAGAAGCAGCAGCAACTTCATTTTCCTATCGTGTCAGGAATTATTCTTAAGTCGGTGGATGCTCCGAATGGTTGGAAATGGCATTTGCAGCTAATTGACGACACGGGTCTGACTCATGGCTGTAGTCTGAAACACATGAGCAACACGTCAAACTTCGCACTCACAAATCTGCAAGAAAAACACCACTCTCTGCTCAATATGCATTGCTCCGCTAAATTCACCCTGTTTCAGTTGAGTTTCAGAAGGATACTGGAATTTGACGGGATGTGTTAATTGGGTGGATGCATGCAAACTTGACTTATTCTAGAAATTATAGACGCACTTTGGGAATTCTTCTGTTTCTGAGACTTAACTGCTATTGATAATCCATCTACCAGGCTAAGCACTAGACAGGTTCGGGGAAGAAAACATTCATTCAATCAGAAATGAATGTGTACGTCATGCAAATGCTTGTTGGCCATGTTCACCTGTTACTTGTCCTTTTCAGTGTAAGAGTGTATAGGCTGATGTGAAGTTAGACTCTAAAACATCATGTCTATACATCATGTCACAAACCAAACAGTGTCTGTGCTACAATAAATACATACATAGTAATCAAATGTTGGTGCCAGGTCCATGTTTTACCTCAGGTTTTGAGTTTTTACAGTTGCACACCAGTAACCTTATCATCATTACAGTCATAATGATAGTAGCTATGCACTGTGTGTTGGAGTATTATTCTTACACTCCTGTTATATCTATACTCTTGCTGTCACCACAGTGGTGTGTGTGAATGTTCAATTTCTTTATTTCTGCAAAAGGTGATGACCGTCGATGGAGAGTATATCACTTCGTTCGGGTCTCAGGGCAGCGCTTTAGGGCAGCTGTGCCAACCGCATGATGTCACTACAGATGCCTACGGCAATGTTCTAGTCGTAGATCATGGCAATGGATGTGTTATGGTAAGGGAGAGCTTGTTGTGTCGTGTTCTTCTTTCTAAATACCTACAGACAGAGAGTAGTACCCAGTACATATACAACAGTGGAGCATGGTCAGTTTGTTGCTAGTCTGTGATTCATGGTCAGTACAATCATCAGACAACACTGATATGAACACAGAAAGTGATGTACACTGCATGCACAGAGTACAAGACAGTAAAGCAAGAGTACATTAGCTCTTACAGAATGTTGCTTTGCGTTCTTGAATCGTGGTTTGACCGTATTGTCCAATGGTCTTTCCAGTATCGTCATCGACATGCATGAACATCCGCCAATAATGCATCATCCATACATCTGTACCTCTAGAAACTTGTGGAGACATTTAGGAAATATCGCGGAAAAAGTTGCGAGGTAAAATGCCACAAATTGCGTCCGATTTTGTTACTTGTAGTGTAGTGAGGTAGGATTGTGCTGCGCTGTACTCGATTACGACTGGGTTCAAGTGATGACAGGAGCTTGCAAGACAGTTTTACTCCATTCTCCGACAACACTCGACGCGAGCCTTATTTTATTTTTTACTTTTCAGCCGCTGATTTGCCCAGAAACTTCTCCATTCTGGTATCGATCTCACAAGTAAACTACTGACGAGCTTGAAGAACTAAACAACATCGAAGAAAGATTCCAATATTGTGGTTGCTTTTCGAAATATCGCGGTGCTTTTCAAGTACGAAGGACAGTTTTGTACAATAATGCGGATGATTTTTCAAATATCGTGGATATCGCGGAATTTTGTTCGAATCGCGGAAAACAACGCGGTCACGGAATCGCAAGTTCCTGGAGGGACAGATACATCAACCATAATACATCACCATACATCATCCATATATCACCATGCATCAACCATCTATAATACGTGTTATTCCTGTACGCTCACCTGTGTTGTCCATGTTCTCTGCAGGTATATGCCACATAAACTTACACACCACTGGCTGAGTTTGGAAAAGGAGAGCTGGACAAGCCGATGGGTGTCTGCGTGACAAGTGAGGGCTTAGTAGCTGTTTCCTGTGATGGAAGCCACAATATTTTTTGTGTTTTAAAGGTTTCTTGTTAGACTTCCAGCACCCTGTGTCACCATGTTACTTCTAGGCAACATATCTGTACAGTCATACATTAACACCCACACACGCACCCACACACATACATACACACACACATACACACACACACACACGCACACACACACACACACACACACACACACACACACACACATATACACACACACACACACCATTGATCATCCATTTGACGCCCATCGCCAGAGGCGATGAAAGCGATGCTACAATAGAAGCCATAGCCACTTGTGCTGGGATTGCACCATTTAGAAGATTGCAAGCCTGAAGAATTGATCGCCACTATTCAGCCTGGTCTACACCTCACAGCTATGAAGTGGTTTTTCTGTCCAGTGAATCCCTACACACACACACACACACACACACACACACACACACACACACACACACACACACACACACACACACACACACACACACACACACACAAACACACACACACACACACACAAAACACACCACACACACACACACACACACACACACACACACAGTGACACACACACACACCACACACACACACACACACACACACACACACACACACACACACACACACACACACAAACACACGCATACACACACACACACCTCCGTTCCTACCCCCGCCCCCCCCCCCCCAATTCCTTACCCACACACCCATCTTACAATCAGTTCTTCATTGGTTGTCTCTTACAAGACTTTCCACTCAAATGTGGCCTTTCCCTCCATTCATTTCCCACCCTGCTTGTTTTTTTGCCTGTCAGCATTCTCACATGAACTGAGTATTCAGTTCTGTACTTTCTTTGAAATTATTTTTTAATTAAACAAACCAGTTTGGTAGCAGGACCAGTATTTCTTAGCTAGCTCCTGGATTCTTGATCCTTGTTCACCCTGACTCGCAGGAGAATGATGTGCCAAATTGTTAGAAAACTCTTTGTGTCCTAGATTGTATACCGTTTTGCATTGCGACTAGTTTGTAAGAGTTCTGATTTATTGACTTATATATTTACTATTGTGGATTGCTTTCTTACAGATCAATTATCCTGCTTCGAAGTATTAGAATTGCTAGTCAACATTGCCTTGACTTGTGCACAAAGAGATCATCCTTTTCCTTCTTCTGATTCTGTCGACTCTTAGTGCCACGTTCACATACATGGATGAGGCTTTGACGGCCGGCTGTATTTGTACATTATGCATTGTGTACAATGCACCTGATCAGTGCTGGTGGTCTGCATGGCAAAGAGTTCGGAGGTCATGCAGATAGTGTTTTCAATGAAAAGCAGGGTAGAAATCATGGCAATACATTATTGTATGCTCGAACTAGTCTTCTTCAAAGTTCTTTCTCACACTGACACAGTACATGTAGCAGAAGATGCGAGTGAATCAGCCTTCATCAGGTATCTTGGGGCGGACGAGATACATGTAGTGGCGGGTAGTGCGCAAAACTCCGTGTACATGTACATGTACTTGTACATTATGCATGTTACGAAGTCATGACCAGTGTGGATTTTAGCAGCCATGATAATATCATGACGGCAGGCTACGGATATTGCTTTAAATTGATGTATAGTTGATGTTCGGTCATGATGGAAGGAGAAGTGGAGCTACGGGAGAGATGAGCTGATTATTCGCAGGGTGAGGCCCAGGGTGACATCGGATGGACAAGTATGATGATTACGAAGACAGTTGAACATGATCATTTTCAAAGGTAACTCAAACTAATTTGGCAATGAAATACTTTTGCTGAAGTACA